TTCAAAAGCTTCAAAGAAATAGCTATAAGCAGTTTTATAATCCTTCTCCTCAGCATGAAGTATTCCACTCTGCAGATCTATGGCACCCTGTTGAGCTGGAGGCACATAAATAGCATTTGCAGCTGTTCTTGCAGCTGTGAGCGCAGCTTTTGCCTTTGGAAGGTTTCTTAATGAGAAGTGCAGCTTGCTTTCCAGCAAATCTATGTCTACAAGAAGAAGTTTGTCATCTAATCTCCTCACCTCTTTGACCAAGCCAGAAAGAAGAGTTAAAGCTTCTGAATACTCCTTGTTTTCCATCAGAAGTGCTGCAAGCCTTGCCTCAACTCGCTGCCTCAGAAAGGTACGCTTTTCAGCACGAGTCCATAGCACCATTTCTTTGCAGAGTGCAATTTGTAGATCAGATGTCCCTGGAATTTTAGCAACCGAGTCAATTATTCCCCTAACAATCTTTGCAGTTTTTGCCTTGGGTATCAAGGAGAAGAATGGCCTCAACTGAGTGAGAAGACTGCGCAGATCCTCTCCCCTATTCTCTGCCGTGAGATGCTGAGTGAGGTTTGTGATTGCTTGCTCTTTCATACGCAGAGCATCTGGTGAAGAAGAAGGATCATCAAGTATCCGATAAAGAATGGAGATGGTCTCGGATGGGTCTTTGGCTTCCATTGCCAGAGCAAGTGACTCAGTTGTGGCAGGAAGATGAGAGGAAGACATTGCTCCTGCTTTGAGATACCCCTGCAAGAAAACATTTGTAAATGAAGAGGAGCATTTAAAACTATAAACTTCACATTACAATCAATGGATTGGTGAGTGAAAATTATTATCTCATTGTGTAGCTTCTTTTCCCTTGTTAAAAATTGGACACCAGTAAAATGAATAGAAAAAGAGAAACCATTTTCCTGAAGAAAGGACTAAAGGAGCACATGAAAGGACAATAGATGGCAGACTGAATAGGCTTTAATAATTTTACGTTATTATACACATATTATATGGGTTGGGACAGAAAAAAATAAAAATTATATGGGTAGTGTAGATTTAATGTTGAAGTTTCTTGCACCAAGACTTGTTGAGTTCTCTAAAAAACTTGCCATCTGTCAGTTATTCAAATTGGTCGCAGAAATTAAATAGATGTTTTTTAGTCTTTGTTGTTAATAGGAATAATTCCCATCTAAAGTGAGATTATGCACAGAATGAAAATTAGGAGAAGAGGCTGTATTATTGTTAAGAAAGATACAAAAGATACAAAGATAGTTTGCAGAAATAGTAAGAGCAAAACTTGATCCCAGTCAAGGAAGGAAGAATTTCCCTAAGCCTCAAGCTAAAAGCTGAAAAATAAAAAATATATACATAAGCCCTCCTTACTCTTAAATTCCACTATTTGAAAGATTACTCAGACCTATTCCCGCTCTCTTCCAACTCCCCCAACCCTACAAATTGAAGAATCCCTGTCTTGGGTCTTCAAGTTGTAGTGGCCTTTCAGTATTGACCCAGCCTTAGTAGCTACTAGGTTAAATGAATCATGGTCCACTAGAGTAGTTGGATCCAGATTCCTATCTGGGGTCACTGGTGTATACTGTATAGCATTGACAACCATTACAGACATGCCCCAAAAGAGCCATCATAGCACCACAAGTGACATTGCAGGAATCAATTTAACACAAAACAGTAACTTTTGCAATATAATAACCAACTACAAAATAAAAATTTCCTGCTAGGTGCGGTTGGCCAATGGAAGTTCTAGAAAAAACAAAGTTAATTAAATGCACTAAAATGAAGAGAAATTCATATATCATGAAAAATCATCACAAAACAATATATTCATCCCAAATTTAACAATCCACAAAAAGACAAGACAAGAGAAGAGAAGATTTATCTTTTTAAGAAAAGATTTAAGAGAAGACAAGATTTATCAGCACCTTAAGAAGTTGTGTGGATGAAAAGAATCTTAGAATGAAACAATTTGTCTTGATTTTAAGAAAAAAAACAATAATCAACAAAAATGTAGTGCAGTGGGAGAGTTCAGAGTTCATTATCCAGTTGTTACCCTCTGTAGTGATTTCTGTGTTATTTTCATCTAAACAGGGCAGAATGACCCCTGCGCCTCTTACAATTACAAGGTCATTGACCAACTGTGATAAAAAAAAAAGTGGATACAATATGCAAAAAGCATGCCACTTTTGCTCCAGCACCATGGCATCATTATCAACAGAAACCTTAGTGCTTCCACATTGAAGGTGCTAAGTCATTCTTAGATGGAGGAAGACATCATTGACAACCATAATCACTAAAAACTTAAATGGGACTTAAATAGCACTCTCTACAGCAGTGTGTCCAACAAAGAACTTTATCATTTCACTTATATAAAAATAGGAATTTTTCATCTCCCCTCACTTTAAAACTGCCAAAGATTTACTCTCATGTTCCATCTAACCCCCCCCCCCCGGCCCCAAACCCAAAAAAAGAAGAAGAAATTAATTATCAAAAGGGGGCCTTGTAACCTGCATGCAATAACTGATTCAAACAAGTTCATGGTCTACAATGACAACACTATATCAATTGCAACCTATATCCTCTCATTTTGATTTAATTTTATGTTTTACTCAAGGAAATGCAGAAGTAGAGGACAACACATCCAACACCAAGCCCCGCAAACTTCACCCTACACAGATCTTTGTGGTCATCTCTCTCCTCATGACCCTATCCATCTTATAAAAAAAAACTCGCAAGTACGGATCCAAAACCAATCTATTGGAATATTCAGGAATTTAAAACAGAGATTAACAGTGGACTAGCACAGACCATGAATCCAATGATGAACACCAAAATTGACTTCAAAACATCGATAAGAATCTCGCAAACCAGAATGTTAAGCTACCCATTGGATAGATAACTGAACAGTTAGACGAATCGAAAACCCAGCTCACACACACAAGAGCAGAAAACCTTGTGTTGTTTAACACCATACTTAACGTCGTCGGCATAGAAAAGACGAAGGAGCGACAATTGAAAGCAATGAAATGTTAAAATAAAATCTGAGAAAGGGAAAAAAGAAAGGAACGGAATAACGTTACCTTGTTGGAGAGAATTGTTTGGTGGCAGAAGCGGAGTATGGTGGAATTTGGAAGTGCGGTTGGTTTGGGAAAAGTGGAAGGGTGGAAACCCTAAGACAGAAGAAAGGAGGAAAAAACGACGACGCAGGAAGGAAACAAAACAATGTCGGTTACTGTACACACTTTAAAACTTTAAACGCATCGTTGCATTAGTCAGCTCAACTCATCTAACTCCTAAGCCGAGCCGGTTCGGTTGTTGTATTCAAAAAAAAAAAAAAAAAAAAAATATATATATATATATATATATATAATTTTATTTTTTTGTTTAAATATGTTTTTAATCCTCAAATTTAAGATAAATTTATTTTTTGTCTCTCAAATTTAAAATTGTTGTTTTTAGTCCTGTAATTTTCAAAAATATTAAAAAAAAAAAAAAAAAAAAAAATATATATATATATATATATATATAATTTTATTTTTTTGTTTAAATATGTTTTTAATCCTCAAATTTAAGATAAATTTATTTTTTGTCTCTCAAATTTAAAATTGTTGTTTTTAGTCCTGTAATTTTCAAAAATTTTATTTTAGTCCTTTAGGTCACCAAACATATTTGAAAGTGATTAATCAAGATAGTTATGCAATATTAACCAGATTTAATGTGATATTTTCACTAATAGAGCTACCAATAGGTATATTTTATACAATAATGTTTAATAAATTTCTTAACAAAATTTGAATATAATAACTAAAATAAGATTTTTTGAAATTACAAGGACTAAAAATAATAATTTTATATTCGAGGGACCAAAAACATATTTATCATAAATTTGAGGGATTAAAAACATATTTAAGCCTACTTTTTTTTTACCTAAATTATATTTTTTCTTTTTATTTTATTTTAAAAATTTATATTAGCCTTTTATTTTTAAATATTCATTTTAGTATTTTATTTTTAAATTTTAAATTTTGATGATTTTTAATCCTTCTGACATAATTTTGAATTTTTTTTACTAATTTGAAATGTAAAATTTATCTCATTAAATTTACTTGTATAAAAATTATAAAATTTAATTAATATTGAAAATAAAAAATAAAATTTTAAAATTTTAAAGTCAATAAACACAGTTTTATTATTTTAAAATAAAGATAATAAAAATAATGTGAAAAATAAATTTCAGGGATAATTAAAAAATAATATGATGTTATTTTTTTTATTATTTATCTATTTTTATGTGATTTTTCGTTATGCATGTGATTCTTTTAGATTTGAACATCAATTGAATTTCAAAAAAAATTTATGAGTGAATTTGATGTGATAAATTTCATGTACTGAATTAGTTAAAAGAATAATTTAAAATTTTGTTCCAAAATCAAAGGGGATAATTGTTTTAGAAGAACCAAATTAACTAAAATTTAAATAATAAAGAATTGAAATAAATTTTAAAAGATAAATGACTAAAATAAAATAAAAGATCAGTCATATAATTTAACCATTTGTATTTCTACTTACCAATTCTATTTTAAGGATTAAATCGTTGGATCATTCATATTATTAAAAGGACTCAAATACTAACAAACATTAAATTATAGTGACTTAAATACAACATTTCAATCTCACAATTTCTCTCAATATTGTAAGATAACAGTGAGAGAATTTGTTAGGATTGAATTTCATTTATCTCACTTCTCTATCCTCTTAAGATTATCTACATATGATTCCTATTACTTAGTATCATTAAATTCTCAAAAATTATTTTAAGTCAATTCCTTATATTTAAAAATTTTAAGAATCCTAATTTTATAATTGATGCCTCAGTTTATAAAGTCATAGTCCTTATATTAAGCTCAAGAATTTATCCAACTAACAACTTGTTGAGATTTCTGTTGAAATACTTTTGTTATAATTGTAAATCAGTTTAATTCTATCAACGGTCTCAAAAACGGCAAGTATACGGCTAGAAGGAAAAGGTAGTCTCTGTTGTTTCCGCAAGGACCATAAGCAGTTGCTATTTGCCTGAACGGTTAAACAAAGATTAGCGGAACCGACGGATAGATCACTTCCACATAAAAAAGAATGGGGAGAAAAATGTATACCAGGCCATGTCATCCAGAGGGGCAGGTCCCAAGTAATATTTGTTGTTAACTTTGTCTGGAGTAGATGTGAATCTGTAGATTGATATGATATCTATTAGCAAACTCGTCCTTGTCCTCATAAGTATGATCAAAACAATTATGTAACTTAGCGCATCTTTGATTCAACATTAAAACTTATTTTGAAAAAATAATAGCTTATTTTTGCCTCTTTCTGTGAAAAACAAGCTATTATTTCCGAAAAATACTATATCCCCAAACAAGCACTTGTATATATAATCAATAAGCTAAAGAAATTCATAAACGATGTCTATAACTTACACTATTACGTCAGTTAAAGTAGGGTGCAGTGAATCTCCTTCCTAAAGAAAAGATGGCAAGTTAGAAGTAGTGATTATTAATTAAATATTAAAATAACAATCACTTGCAAGTAAGTGGGAAAAAAAAACTTGATGATTGGTGTAACCCACCTTGAAGAAGCTTACGATAGTCTTTTGGTCATATTCACATTCGGTTATTTAGGGTTAATTTGAGTGGCACATGTTCAGCCACCCATGGTGCTAAACATGTGACTCAAATGTAACTGAAATGACTTCCAAGTTAAACCTAATTTAGTCTAATTTGCCTAATTAAGTAATCCTTGTATAATCCTACTCTAATGACCTAAATACAATGGTCAATCAAATACATTGGAAAGAAAAAATTACAAGAATAAAAATGAGCCCAATATTGGGTACCAAAGGCCCAAAGGCCTGTGTAGCCCAAAACTAGGCCCAACTAGCCTAAAACCTAAAATGCTACTCTATGTGGTCTAAAATACAAGACCAAAATATATTCAAACTATGCTAACAAAATATAATAAGAATGTTCATATCAAGATAGGCCCATGTTGAAACTTGATTTGGGCCTTCCAAGCCCTTAAGGCCCATTGGGCCTTGACTGACCCAATCTTCCATGTCTAGCCCACTCCTCTTAGATCTTTGAGTATGTCACCTCTTGCACTCCAAAGCATGATTCCATCATCCCCTCCCTCTTGAAAAGAATTTTTCCTCAAATCTCGAGGATGAATGGAAGAAAAATCAACACCTACATGTATAACATACAATGGATAAGAGATGAAATTTTCATAAATCCTAAGAGGAGTCCTTCTATCTAGCCTAAGAAATAAACTATCAAAATTAGACTCCCTAAAAATAGAAATAGGCTCCTCTTCTAAGCATAACCTAGAAGTAAACCCTAAAAATGTAAGGACATTACTATATCTTGCCTAAAGTACCCTAAATGGTAACCTAGGCATTTCCTAAAATATAAAGAAAAAACTACTAGAAAACGTCCTAAACAATTTTGGATTTGATTGTTTACTAGATACTCATAATCATATAAGCTATATTTGCTTGTAGGGAAGGAAACATATTACGTTCAAATAAAAAAGAACTTTATTAAGTTACCATGAGATAATATGTTGTGTTTTCTTATGTATTATATATATAGATGTTTTCTTTTCTCACCGTGCGTTTTGTGGATATGCTCTGATATTGTGACATCGGGGCAGATGATTTTCTTTAGGACATAGATTGTTATATGGAATTAGAATTATAAATATTATTTTTGAAAATCATTGGTAAACTCTTACGTTTCATTTTCATTGTCGTGGTTGTTGAAGAATAATTTTGAAGATTCTCATGTGAACCCTTTTACCGAAACTGAAAATTATTTTTGTTGAGTTTTCATTATTACAATACATGTGTTGGGGTAGTAAGGGTGTCACACAACCCATAAGTTTACTCAAACCTAATCCCTTAGAGCAAGAGCCTAGGTGCGGATATTGAATATCAATCCCTTGAGTACCCAATATCTACACCCGCATTACGGGCTAGGGTTTAAGACTACTAATGGATCAAGCTCTATCCCTAGATACAATCCCCACTAGGCATATGTTTCAGAAATAGTTTCAATGGTATTTCCCAATACTCAATGGAACCTTAAATCATGCAAAGGGTGATCAATCTAAAACAAGCATTAAACATCGAAACATACACAACAAAGAATGAAACAACATGTATATATATCATTAAAAACGTAAGGATTACAATAGAGTACGTTGATAGAATCACTCAACAATGAGGGTAAATACAAAATAGAGATGAAGGGAGAAATGAATAAATCGAAGGAAAGACCCACACACGAACGACTCCAAGCTCTGGGAATCCCTTCCACAGCTCCTAAAACGCGCCCCTGTGTGAATGAGGGAGAAACCCTCGAAAATGGCTTCAAATACGAGCTTGGGGAGATCAGATTAGGGTTTCGCGCCCGGCACGTAAGTCTTCATGCCCAGCTCGGGGTCTTCCAAATACTCTCTGCCTTAGGACACGTCCGGCGCAATTAATTTTACGCCCAGCGCAGATGTGGCTTTGCAGAGGTGAGACTCTGTTTTGATCACGCCCGGCGCGGGTCATGTGGCGCCCAGCGCATTCACTCTTCTCTGCTCCTTAGCTTCTTAGATTTCCAATCCAAAGGATCTTCAACTTTCCACTCTTCACTCAATACCTGCACAAAAAATGAGGTGGATTAAGGTATTGTTAGATGAATTTGAGTTAGTTATATCTGCACACAAAATGAACCAAAAAGAGAACAATTATATTGCAATGGTTCAGAGGATGAGTGGAATTGTTCAATAAGTCTCATCCAAAAAGAAGTAAAATTGAGACTTAACACAACTCTAAATATATTATTGGATGATTTGATTCAAAATGGATTTAAAAAATATTTTTCAACCAAAATCTATATTAAAAATCAAAAGATGGGTAAGTAGTTCACCTCAAACATTAAAAACAAAATCAAATCACTAACATTGAATAATAGAACATCATATGTATAAATTAAAATAATTACATTCGAGTTTGATGAATTACATTCAACCCTAACAAAAAGAAAGGATTAACTACTTATGATAATGAAAGCAATTTTCATGTACAAAGAAAGTATAAAAGGAAAAGATGAACCCAAAATCCCTATCCCCAAATGACTCTTGAAGTTCTCTTCCTTCAACTTTGTTTCTTGCTCTATTCTTTGTTCTAATTGATAATGTTTTTCTCTCTCATCAACCCTTAAATATGTTTGGTAAATAAAACAGAGTAAGCTTGAAAGAGAACAATCTGTTCAACCTTTTTCCAAATGATTGAGTTGATTTTTTAATTCTTTAGGGTGAAGAAAGTGTCAAAAATTTTACCGTTTTTTGGACCAAATTTATTCAATTCTTTCAAAAAGGCCGAGTATATCTTGTTCTAGCGCCAACCTTTCTCTCTATCTTTGATTTGCTAAGTTCTTACGGATCGACTAAGCGTATTGAGAAATTTTGAAGTCTTGGTTCTTCATTAAATCTGCATGAAAAATAAGGATTCATAATTCAAAATCTATTAATTCTTTATAGACTACCATATTTACACATCCTTTTGATTCCTTGAATATTTAAGGAATTAAAGCACATACTTCTTTTAAACCTAGTTAGATAAATATCAAAATAATCATAATTTCTAAGCAAAATTAACACTTTTCAATAATCCTTACCAAAACTAAAAGAGTCAAATTTACATTTTTTTCCTATTGATATTTTTTTAACATTTTTTTATTTTAAATAAAATTTAATTAAAATATACAAATAATGTGATTTCATTAGTTTTACTTTACGATGTGAATCAATCATATATCACTTTTTATTAGTTGATAATATGAAATGTTTATGTTGACACTTCAAAATTATACTTAGGAAGTGTTTGGTAAAATTATACGTAGAAATCATGACTTTCAAAAGTTATAAATTTTGAGAATGACTAAAATCATGACTTAAAAAATATCAAAGTGATTTTTTTAAGAAAAACTAAAATTTTTAAAATTTAAGAAAAGAAAAGGCCCCAAAATGTATTTAATTTAGAGGAAAAAAAAAGTAACAAGACTTACCAATGTGACTAATTATCTTGATTTTCATATCTAGGCTTATAATAATATTGAAAAACCTAATAATTATAATATATCACTATTGAATAAATATTAATTAATTAATTTAAATTATTGTACCAAATACAAATTGTAATATTTATAGTTAATTTAGTGATATTATATATAAATAAATAAATGTGCGTGTGAGATATAATATTAGAATAATTTTTTTATATGACAATAAAAAAATAAAAATAGTTGAGAGTTTAGATTGAAATACTTGTGGAATTAATAGCAACAAAATGGTGCCGATAGAAATTGAAATAATTTTTTTTGGTAAATAATGAAAGAAGGATAAAGAAAAAAAACAAGGATGAAACTGAAATAATTATTAAAATAATAATAATAGTAATAATAATGATAATGACAATACAACAATAATTTTAGGGATAATGGTATAAAGGTGACTATAATAACAATAGTAAAAGTGATAAGAATAACAATGCTAAATAAATCATGATAAGAGAGTCTGAATGTCACTTGTCATATACTTTTAATAGAGATAATAAAATAACAATAATTATTAATAAGGTGTAATATGATTAATAAATATATCATGTACCTTATCAATTAAGTATATGATTAAGAGTTTGATTTTTTATAAGTAAAATAAAATTAACAAGAATATAATGAGTACACTAACCCATATAATTTGATTATTAATATATATAGAAAAATATTTATTAAGAGTATCAATACTTATAGATTTTGTGACATACTAAATCAATTCATATCAGAACGGATGTAAAATTTATCCAAATTCTACGTATATTTTTCTTGTAAAACAATGTAAATGTGTATATGCTATGTGTGTTTAGAAAATCGTGCAGAAGGATATATACTTTGGATGTTACTTTATTATACATATCGATTCCATAACTTATGTAAAAGATTTTATAGAATCGATGTAGAATGTGCATCTAGAAAAATTTGTTATTAGTTCTCAATATTTTATTATTAATTTTTTATTATATGCAAAAAATTTTATGAATTTTTATAGTCATTAGTTCTCAATACTTTATTATTAGAATTTTTTTTATTATATAATTTTTTCTACGAAATTTTATAAAAAAATTCGTAGGAAAAATTGTTTTTATAAATTTTTCTGCAAAATTTTATCTGCAGGTAATACTTTCGTGGATAATATATTTTTGCGAATTTTAAAATTTGCAGGAAATTTTCCTGCGAAATTTCTTGCGAAAAAAATTCGCAAGAAAGTTTTTGCAAAAAAAATTTGCAAGAAAGTTTATTGCAAAAAAAAATCGCAGGAAACGTTGTTCCTATAAATTATTTTGCAAAATTTTATCTGCAAGTAATACCTTCGTGGATAATATATTTTTGCGGATTTTAAAATCCGCAGGAAATTTTCCTGCGAAATTTCTTACGAAAAAAATTCGCAAGAAAGTTTCTTGCAAAAAAACAATTCGCAAGAAAGTTTCCTGCAAATTTTTTCGCAAGAAATTCTGCAGAAATATTTTTTATAAAAAACATTAAAGAAATTACTATAAATTTTATCAATAATTCTTCAACTTTCAAATGCTCACAATGAATTCATTCAAGGCATTTGGTTCCGTATCCTCAAAAAGGATAACGATAATCACTAACCATGCAAACACAAATAAGAGGCTGTTGTAGTTAAACATAATTGGAATGCTGCAATATATTACTAGATTAATTTACGGACTCGTAGACCGTCAAGTTTACATAATCTTCTGGGTAAGTAAAACTGATTCTTCGATCCATCTTGACATCTTGTTTCGTTTTATAATTACGGGAAGTGGATCCTGTGCAGCCAACTTTTCTGCACTCTCTTTATTACTCTAACTTTTCTTTTACCATCTTGTTTCATTCTTTATTTTTTTTCTTCCTTTTCCTTTTGCGATTTTTGGCTGCAGACCCCCGGTTATACGATGAATAATTGAATATATATGTCCCACATATATATACAATGTGTATGAAATGAAAGAGCATGAAATTATTAGCATCTTTTTCGTTTTTCCTACCGAATGCCACAAGCTTTTTTGACGTATACCTTTTTCATACTAAATTAGTGATAGTTGGGATGATAGAATTATGAATTAAAAAATAACGAAGTAGTTGAACACCATTATAGCAGAAAATAATTAATGCAATATGTTGTGCAAAAGCATAAAGTAAATCAAAATCAAGCACAGGGAATTATACAAGATATGCATTCACACGACCCACATTATATTGAACAGTCAAAATCCCTTGTTAAATGGGTAGAAGTAGAACATGCATACATGTTTCTGATCATTGAAATATTACAATGTACTATAACTTCAATTTTTATTTAACACATAACTAACTCATACAAAATCTCTATTCTCATTCTCATCCATCTTTCCCTTAGCACTGGTAACCACAAAGTCAAGATTGTAGAGCACAGGAACCATAGTGAGAAAGCACAAGAAGACCAAGACGGGGCCAAATATCCATAGCAGGAGAGGAAGTGCTGCATAGAAGAGTCTGTTTCCAACAGTGTTTAGAATGAAGCCTCTCTCCAATATCTCATTCACATATTCAGGGGTCACCAAGGACATGGGGTCCTGGGGGGTATTGATTAGGATGTTAACTTGGTTTATGAACCTTATGGACAAGGAGTGGCAAAAGAAAGAGAAGAGGAAAATAGAGAGAAGAGTGACATATTTGAGTGACACCATGAACTCCCCATGACCCCCATAAACAGTGTCCTCAAGTGGCTTTTTCACACTGTAGCTGCTGCTTACGATTGCTGCAAGGCCTGAGCATAGGAGAATTGAGGTTGTGGCCATTAGGGTCGCACCCATGATTGTGTTTCGAAGTGACTGAACAGCGAGGATGTTCTTTTTGTCATTGTCCTGCATGCCATATAATCGTCACTCTTCAATTATTGTTTTGTGTTATTTCGTTTTCCAATGAAATTCCGTGTACCATGCACAAAACTAGTGGAAGAGAACATTTTGTAATATTAGGTGAAATAGTACAAAATAATGAAAAGTACAATGGCACATGCACTTCTTCATGCTACTTATATACCCTATTTGTATATGCGATTAATCGAATGACGCTTCAGAAAACTTTAATTGGGATATGATATGCGATAGATTTGGCAAAAGTCAAGAGTCTCACAAATTATGTATAGATAAAAAGTCTTTATATTATTATTATTCTTATCTTTTTTCTTAGGTTGTATATGTCATCTTGTTTTACTGGTAGTGGTTTGCTATATTATATTGAAGAGATGGTACTTAATCCTATTGGTGATACCAAAATTAGTTGCCATAACGCGTTAAAACTAGAATATACTGAGAGAACATGGGCGATAATACAAGATGAGTTTAAAAGAATTAATCATTTTTAAACTCATGCATCTCGGAATTTTAATTTGGGGAGTTTAATAATATTTTTGGTTTTCATTTTTAATTATAAACATTTTGAAAATTTACATACAAAAGTGGTATTTTTATGTTTTCATTTTCTATACACATTAATTCGTCGTTGATATTGCGACCAAGGGTAATTGATTTGTAGTGAGAGCATTGGTTGTTGTAATAAACTTTTCAGCAAAATTAATAAAATACTTAACGGGCTAAAAAGTATTCATTATTCATTCAAAATATTTTAATTATAATAATTTTTTTATTTTTTATCTCACTTATAAATACGTTGTTTGTGAATGTATCACCATACAAATAGATTGAAGATAAATAATTTAAGATAAAAAAAAATAAGAAAAGATGAATGGTACAGTTTTGATAATATATGTGATAAAAATAATTTTAAGAAAAAAATATTTAAAAACTGGTAATAAATAGTGAAATAGTATATATATTTAAAATCAAGTTTTTTTTAAATAGTATGTTAATAAAGTTCTAAATAAGGGTAAATTGGAAAATAAATATTAAAAGAGTGAACAGACGTAATGAAATTATGAAATGTCGTTAGTCTCACACTTCCTATTTTAATATTTTATTAACATGTGGATTTGCATGCACATTATCTACGTCTCGTGACTTTTTTATCCAAAGGTGTTCATTATGTAAATATATTATATAAAAGGACTATTTCAAAACATTTTACTGTTTTGTGTGGTTAATAGGGATCTCATTTTATGTGGTTAATAGGAATATCGTTCGTCAATGTAACATTATCTTGTACTGAGTTATTTAATTTTTTTTTAAAAAAAAGTGAAGTTAGAGTCGTGTACCTCAATAATGATCCTACGTACGACACAAGCAACACTTATTCTAAATAATTATAAATATAAGTGTTATTGTCTTGTAAAGAGGAGTTACTTTCTTTTAATAATGGATGTCGATACATGAAATTCATGGAGGACTAGATATATATATATTGTTTATTTTAGTAGTATTATTGTTCCTTTCAATGGTTTTTTTTTTTTTTTGTTTGTAATGGGTGCCACTATCTCCACTAGAGACTAAGTTTGATATATTTTTTTTTATTGTAAGTAGTGTCACCACTCTTAATAGAAGATATTTTTTTTTTTTAAGTGTAGTCCTGCTATTCCCATTGGAGACTACCATTCGTGAGATACAAATCCATGAGGATGAAGTCAAATTCAATTGCGGTGTACATTATATAACTCAATAAATCTTATGTCAAATGATAGTGTCTGCCTGAAAATGATTTAAAGGAATGATTGATGTGGAATTGCTGATTCTGCTTTGATGAGTACAGAATTGTTTTAGGAAGGAATTACACTAATTAATCACAAGTTTATTAAATTTTATAATAATTGCGTTAAAAAGTTCATGGAAATTAAGCTCTAATTTATAAAGCAAAAGCTCTTCACAGTTTTATCTGCTCGGTTGAACTAAACTCATTAACAGTTAGAGTTTCATCCCTCTCAAGTTTTTTATTATTATTTTTAACTAAAACTAATTTTTTAATATGTAACTCCAATCTGATTTTATAATAAGTGGCATGTGATGTACTCATCGAGTTTTATGACGCATTTTATTGCTTGTTACAGTTATATCAAAATGAAATATGTAAATATCAGACTACACTGAAAAAAAAAAAAAAAAAACTTTCATTGGGAGCAGGACATTACCTAGATAAAAAAAAATACCAAACCTAGTCTCCCAGTAAAAATAGTGACACCATATTTTGAAACACACCTTACAACCGCAAGGTAAAAAGACTTAGTTTGATCGATATAATACATATTTAAGTTAGAAATTTTAATATAAGTCATCAAATATTATATATTACCAAAACATTGGACGTTAAATTTCAGATGTAGAAGAAATTCTAAATTAAGATACCTTGATCATCGCTGCAACCCAATTCCGTCGACCAGTAGCATTGATGCCAATGATAGTTTTGTGAGGATGAGTTCGAACAGTGTGCCACAGCCATAAATGGTAAGCAATACTCAAAAGAAATCCTAAGGGCACCAATATCACATCCAAATAACACTTCTTCCATTCCATCTGCCTCAGAGTTAATTAGCTATCGTTTTCTTCAAATTAATCACTTGTGCCTGAAAAGTTAGCAGTCTCAGTTGAATTTGATATATATTCCTCTCTTTGTGCAATTCCATATATCCATGGTTTATATACACATCAACAAAGGATGAATGTGGACTTATTTGACTACACGATTCAGTCTGTACCTTAGTTAATAAAGAATAACCCTTACTTTTCTCACTAAATTACAAACCTTATCCTAATATATTACATGTGGGGTTCTTTTTGTACACCTTTAGTCACCTATTACATGTGTGTACGTGTTTTCTTTTTCATCTTCCAATTAGTTAGGCCCATTTGCTAGCTACTTGTATATTTTTAGATTATATATATGGTATAGGTTGATCTAAAGTAAGTGACTTACGTTAGAAGATATTGGCTAATTGTATTATGAGAAAAGTTTTAAGAAAATCCTTTCAACGTTGTTCCATTTAATTTGATGTAAAATTTTATGAAATAAGGTTTTAAAGGTATAATTTTGGTTTAATTGTATATTTTGTCATCAATATTATATAATTATACAAATTTTGTAACTCAACTTTTAAGTTTGTATATTTTACATTCTAATTTTTAAAAATTTGAACATTTTATTATTAAGTTAATTGATGAAAGTGTCGTAATATAACATATAATCTATGATGTGATATATAAATCACTAATATAATTTAATATGTTAAAGTATTCATTCGTATGTATTTCATTAATCATTTATTTATGTCAATAATTAATATATTATGTTAATAAATAATGTGTTATATAGATAGTCAATGTATTATGATGCAAAATTTAAAAAGTTAAATAGTAAAATATAAATATTAAAAAAAAAGTGAATAAACTCTCGAAATCGTAAAATAAGTGATGAAAATATCAATTAGACCTACAACTAAGGTATAATATATAGCAACAATTGGCCAAATTTAGACAGAATGTTATATATGTCGTTTGCACGTACGCAATTCTCAAGATATTTTCAAGCTAAAGCCCGTACATAATAGTATGATCAGGGTACATATTTTTAAAGATAATTGATGTAATTAATAATAGACGCACTCGTATAGTTGGGGAAAGCTTTTACATAGTATGATCTATTTTAACATTTTTTAAATGTATTTTAACTATTATTTGAAAAGTATCACACTTTCACATCCTTATATCATGCAGCATATCAAACAATGATTTGATTATTTATGATAACATATCTTACGTATCATTTTTAAATGAAGCTAAAAATTAGAGAAAAGATAACATGGCTACATTAGAAAGGAAAAGTATAACACCTAAAACTTAAGTTTAATTTTGAACGAAGCAGGAGTAATTTCCTATTGCTTCAACCTACCATAATTTTTTTTCCAATTGAAAGTAATTTTATTTTAGTAAGTAGTAAATAGAAATCTAAAATTTGAGTAAAAAATTTCATTACCAAGTCAAACATGCATTTAATTTACTTAAATAAAGTCATTAATAAACTATGAGTGCATTTTTTTTTACAACCATGAGTGTATTTTAACAATCTTAATAAAAAAAAAAAGTTTATGATATATAGGTTTTTTTCTAGAACTTTTATTTAAAAAAAAAACTTTTTTTAATCTTTCGATTGAATCATTAATTTTTTTTACGGCTTTTGTCTTTTTCATTTTTCTCATTAAGTGTCTAGTAGTATTTTGGAAGTCTAAATATATTTTTTCTGGATGGAAATATGGGCATTGTTGTTATTATTTGGAATCAAAGTAGGTTTTATTTGAAGTTAGTAGAGCATTTTTCCTGCATGCAATTAAGATATAACTAGTATTTTAATCAATGTACGTAATACATAAAATAATATTTTATTATATATAACTAAATTTTATAATAAATAAATATTTTTAAAATCTAAATTATATTATTATAATTAAAATTGATATTAATAAATATTTTTATTATATAAATTATATTTTAGATTTATGATAAATAATATATTTTGTAATACAATTATATTTTTACTGTTGATAATTTTTTAAAACAAATATTAAAATTTAATTTACAAATAAATGAAGGATAAAAAAATATAACAGGTTAATAAACATGTTCTCATAAAATAAAAATTTATTAAAATATTTTTGTTAATAAATAATTCTTAAAAATACTATCTTTTAAAAATATATTATAATTTATATTGATAAAATTATAAAATAATGATTTAAATATGTATTCAATTCTTTTAAAATGAACAAGTTTTGAATTTTTTTTTTATAAATTTTTTTTTATTTTTATCCTTTTAAATTCTATAAACATTAATTTTGAGGTTTTGTAAAATAATTATTTTTTATTTTCATTTCTTTAATTTTTATAAGTGTCATATGCTGATAAAGTATTACAAATAGTTGTGGATACTGCCTGAGATAATTACTTGACATTCTAATAAAAGTATAAGTATATGTTTGAATATCAGTTCAAAATCATGTTCAACAAAAAAATACACATTTTAATAAAAAAAAACTTGTGAGAATAACTTTTTCAATGTCAGATGAGTTCAACTCAACTGATTCCTAATTACATAATAAGTAATTAAAATGGTTAATTTTAGTATGGACTAAAAACATAGTTTCAAGTTTTAGATAGAGGAAAAAAATTATAGAAATCAAAATCAAAATTCACTCATTTTATATATATTACATACATATTTAAACCTAAAGTAATTTTTATTAATAATATGTAATGAAATAGTTTAAAAATAAAGATAAACAATGTGGGTATCGATAAAGGAATACATCGATATATAACCATTTTTTGTCTTCATATTTCTTAAACAATCTTACACCCAAATTTTTAAATAGTAAAAATATACACATCTATATATAAAAGGGATACATTAATTTATAACCGTTTTTCGTCTCCATATTTTATAGACGATTTTATTAATAAATTTTTAAAAAATAATAAAAAATAATAGAAGTTATTTATATTCCTATCACTCAAATAAGTTAACGGCTTGTGACTAATTAAATTCCGAAATCTTTAATCACCAATTGTATCTCAATTTTTATAATTTTATTTTAAAAATTTAAATAAAGTATAGAAATGTGTAGCGGCCTATTCGGACTTGGGACTTAGGAGTAGTAGGAAGAAGAATGAGAATGAGAATGGCAATTGGGTTAAAATAAAAGAAGTGAGGGGCGGAAGGATAGGGTTGGATTGGAAAGTGAGATTCTGACAAGGCGCATTCTAATTAATTTCATGTGAGGCCGATTACGAGATAAGGAAAGGGCCACTCTCAAGTGGGCCCAAGCCCAACTAGTGCGTTCTCACTTCATCTTCACCCACTTCTACACTCTTTGCCCTTAGGAGTTAGGATTTTGGAGTTGAAATTTTGAACTTGGACAACTGATAGAATTTTCTACAAGTAGTTTTCAAAAGCAAAATATTGTGATGATATGGTATGACCTATTCCTTTTTGGAGTTGTAATTTTATAATGAATATTAATTTTCAGTTAATCGTTTTTCATTTTGATGTACATACTCTCGTGTGTTTTAGGTATTTAACACCATTTTCTAGCAACCTTTGTAGCAAGATTCCCATGATCAAAACCACATCTGGACAAACTACCATTCCCCCCTAAATTTGAAGACCATCGAAGTTACGATGTGCCTACAACATGTGATGTTATATTTCTCATTCATTTTCTTATCCCACGAACACCAATAACTACGTGTCGCAGTGCATGGAGGTGCATTTTTCCAATCGTCCATTTTTGAAGCCATGTTGCTAGACAATATTCTCACCCTCGTCTATTCTTGGTTTCTTGTTTTGGGTTTTTTGCGTGATGGAAGTTTGATGACAAATTATGCACAATCATAGTATGTTATAATTATATGATACTTAACAATTATAAAAGATTGATAGGTGTGTACCTAAAAAGGAAATCGCTATATGTTCGCTATCTCAATCGAATCACAAATATGTAATGAGGCAAATGTTTGTCCTCTTGTTTAATAGTTAGGGTTTTTCACACCATGTTATGATATACAAAATTATCTAATATGACGACAATTTTATAATCACCAAATGATAGAATAAATCCCTCATTTAGACACCATGTATGAGCCTAACACTTCATAATTCACTTTCATCTTAAACTCAAGTATATAATATCTATCAATTAAAATAAAACATACTGTTTTATAATTAGTATTAATAACCTAAAATTTAATTTAATAATTAAACAATGCTATTTTACAAAGCATCAAACATCTTCCACTTGGATTTCTTTTAAAAAAATTATTTTCATAATTCATATCAACTTTAGGTCTCTCGCAAGTAAGAGATAGAATGAAAACGTATTAATTGATCTAAAAAATCGATAGCATACAAATAAACACAAATCATGGTTAAAGTTAATTAAAATTAATCTTTTTTGTTTACCACATAAATCATTTTTTTAATTTAAAATAAATTTGAGAAAAAGGTTAAGTGATAAAAAGTTGAGGAGTGACTGAAAAAAAAGGGGAAAAAACGAGTGAACAAACTTAAGAAAAGGTGATATGTGATTTAGTATGTATAAAAATTTACAATAAATACGAAATGGCTGAAATTAATTCCATTTTAGTTCATACAGTGGTATATTTTATTTTATATATCTTACAAGCCATCCTCAATAATTTATAGCTAGACGCTAGTAAATCATTTCCGACTTTGAAAAAGTTGGTCAAAGAGAAACAAAAGCAAGTTAAAGAGTAAAGACATGTTTATAAAGCAAGTACGAATATAGTTTTAAATGATAAACTTGCTGGTTGAACATTGAATTTGATGTTACTTAATTAGACTTTAACTGATTTGAGTTATTTAAGAAAGTTTGTTGATTTACACTCACTATCTTTTTTAGAAATAATATTTTAATAAGTTATTATTTTATAAGAAAATTAAAATTATACTCACTAACACATTATTTTTTTTATATATATATAAAGTAGATATACGTTAATAAACATAAGTTTTAATATACATTAATCATTATTATTTTTTCTTCACATGAAATATGTTATGTTGGTAAGTTAAATTTATTTTATTTTTTTTAAAAGAAA